GTTTGTGTGTTTGTGTGTTTGTGTGTTTGTGTGTTTGTGTGTTTGTGTGTTTGTGTGTTTGTGTGTTTGTGTGTTAGTGTGTTAGTGTGTTTGTGTGTTTGTGTGTTTGTGTGTTTGTGTGTTTGTGTGTTTGTGTGTTTGTGTGTTTGTGTGTTTGTGTGTTTGTGTGTTTGTGTGTTTGTGTGTTTGTGTGTTTGTGTGGTTTGTGTGGTTTGTGTGGTTTGTGTGGTTTGTGTGGTTTGTGTGGTTTGTGTGGTTTGTGTGGTTTGTGTGGTTTGTGTGGTTTGTGTGGTTTGTGTGGTTTGTGTGGTTTGTGTGTTTGTGTGTTTGTGTGTTTGTGTGTTTGTGTGTTTGTGTGTTTGTGTGTTTGTGTGTTTGTGTGTTTGTGTGTTTGTGTGTTTGTGTGTTTGTGTGTTTGTGTGTTTGTGTGTTTGTGTGTTTGTGTGTTTTTGTTTTTGTGTGTTTGTGTGTTTGTGTGTTTGTGTGTTTGTGTGTTTGTGTGTTTGTGTGTTTATATATTTGTGTGTTTGTGTGTTTGTGTGTTTGTGTGTTTGTGTGTTTGTGTGTTTGTGTGTTTGTGTGTTTGTGTGTTTGTGTGTTTGTGTGTTTGTGTGTTTGTGTGTTTGTGTGTTTGTGTGTTTGTGTGTTTGTGTGTTTGTGTGTTTGTGTGTTTGTGTGTTTGTGTGTTTGTGTTTGTGTGTTTGTGTGTTTGTGTGTTTGTGTGTTTGTGTGTTTGTGTGTTTGTGTGTTTGTGTGTTTGTGTGTTTGTGTGTTTGTGTGTTTGTGTGTTTGTGTGTTTGTGTGTTTGTGTGTTGTGTGTTTGTGTGTGTTTGTGTGTTTGTGTGTTTGTGTGTTTGTGTGTTTGTGTGTTTGTGTGTTTGTGTTGTGTTGTGTGTTTGTGTGTTTGTGTGTTTGTGTGTTTGTGTGTTTGTGTGTTTGTGTGTTTGTGTGTTTGTGTGTTTGTGTGTTTGTGTGTTTGTGTGTTTGTGTGTTTGTGTGTTTGTGTGTTTGTGTGTTTGTGTGTTTGTGTGTTTGTGTGTGTTGTGTTTGTGTGTTTGTGTGTTTGTGTGTTTGTGTGTTTGTGTGTTTGTGTGTTTGTGTGTTTGTGTGTTTGTGTGTTTGTGTGTTTGTGTGTTTGTGTGTTTGTGTGTTTGTGTGTGTGTTTGTGTGTGTGCTTGTGTGTGTGCTTGTGTGTGTGCTTGTGTGTGTGTGTGCTTGTGTGTTTGTGTGTTTGTGTGTTTGTGGGTGCGTGGGTGCGTGGGTGCGTGGGTGCGTGGGTGCGTGCGTGCGTGCGTGCGGGCGTGCGGGCGTGCGGGCGTGCGGGCGTGCGGGCGTGCGGGCGTGCGTGCGTGGGTGGGTGGGTGTGTGGGCGTGTGGGCGTGTGGGTGTGTGGGTGTGTGGGTGTGTGTGCGTGTGGTGTGTGTGTGTGTGTGTGTGTGGGGTGTTCTGTTGTGTTGTGTGATGTGGTGTGTTGTGTTGTGCTTTGTGGTGTGTGCTGTGTAGTGTGTGGTGTGGTGTGGGTGTGTGAAGTGTGGTGTGTGGTGTGTTGTGTGTGTGGTGTGGGTGTGTGAAGTGTGGTGTGTGGTGTGTGGTGTGTCGTGTGTGGTGTGTCGTGTGTGGTGTATGGTGTATGGGGTATGGTGTGTGGAGTGTGGTGTGTGGTGTGTGGTGTATGGTGTATAGTGCATGGTGTATGGTAAGTGGTGGATGGTGTGTCGTGTGTGGTGTGTCGTGTGTGGTGTATGGTGCATGGGGTATGGTGTGGTGTGTGGTGTGGTGTATGGTGTATAGTGCATGGTGTATGATAAGTGGTGGATGGTGTGCGGTGTGGTGTGTGATGGTTTGTTTTGTTGCGTAGTGTTGTGTTGGGTTGCGTTGCGTTTTGTTGTGTTGTGTTCTGTGTTGTGCAGCATGCTGTGCTGATCTGCTTCACTGTGCTGTGCTGCGCTGCGCTGTACAGTGCTCCGTTACGCTGTGTTGTGTTGTGCAGTGCTGTCTCGGTGTTGCGTTGTGCCGCGTTGTGTGTGTGTGTGTGTTTGTTCCCTGTGCAGCAGTGGTGGGATCCCTAGGACCTTTGGATCAAACCGTTGGAAGAGGCTGCGACTGAATCAGCACGAACCCGAGCGGGTGGCATGAGGTATGTGAGGCCACCGCCGCTCCAAGTTTGAACAAGCCATTTGAGCCGTCAAAATATCGTGTTCCCGAAAACCAAAATGGGAAGTTAGCAAGAAGCAAGATTCCCCCTTCCGCGGAGCCAATAATGGACCCTTTTTTGGACCCGCATTGTGTGATTTGCCGCCATGCGTCCATCCGTCTACCCCATAGAGAAAGCTGGGCGAAACTCGGCCACCCGGACATGCCGCTAACCCCCAAACCGGTCGAGGCTGGCCACGCGGTCGGGCGACGGCCTGCCGTGGAAGGGAGCCTATCGCCTGACATGTTAAAACCTTTGAGGCCCCTCCGGCTGTTTGGCTTCACAAAAGACCCGCTTGGTCAGCTACAAGCGTCTAGCAAGAAAAATGTTTGCTTCAAACATGAACCACCTGCCCCAAAATCCAGCCAGCCACAGAGGATAGCTTCTCGGCATCCATCTTGATTTGCCCCTTCCCTGGTGTCTCTTGCCATTTCACCTCTTCCTGCCACCAGAACCAGCATCCGAATTTCTGCAACTCCCCCACCCCACCCCCCGACCCCCCCACCCCCCCGACCGAGCGACCTCTCCCTCTCAGAAAGGTCGTGCTGCGCCCTCAGGATGGAATCCGCGTCACCTTCCTCAGCCACTCGAGCCTGGCCCATTGGGAGCAAATGCCACGCTTTGCTGGAAGACTGAAGAAGAAAATGGCTTGTCATTCCCACCACAATCTCCGCAAGCTTTGCAATTTTCACATATATGTACATGCGCCAATACGCTAATGCATGCGAAGAACAAAAATGAACTCCCGCATCTGCGTTTTGCAGCGCAGGCGCGTCACATAATATGTGACGCGCCATCAGCCGCCCAGCCTACATACTGTGTCAGTTGGGAACAACTTGACTTCAGATTGTTATCCACGCGAACATGGCAAAACGGTTTGGATCGGTTTGGATCAGTAGCCACAACAAGGGTCTGATTTCGGACCCAGAAATAAAGGCAGAACCTTTTTGGGGCCATGGCAATACATATGATTGACTCCAGAACGGGTCGAATGAGTGTTTCAAACTGGGGACCTCTCCTTGCGAATGGGCCAGTCCTCTGATGTCGACCCCGAATCGGGTACACGCGTCTCTCGGATTCACGTGGGGTGCTTCCCCCCCAAGGAGTTGTTTGATGCGCTAGTTGGGGAACCCTTCGGGGCAACCACCGGGAATTCTGTGAATCCTGGGTCGATGCGGCAAGACACCCATATCCCTTTCCCAGCTCCGCCCCGCTCGGTGCCTCTAATGCATCCGTGTACTCCTTCGACATCTTTTTGCCCTCCGGAGAGCTAAAGTTGAAGTGAAAAGTCGCAAAAAAAAGTCGCAAGCCCCTTCCCAGATGGGGAGAGAGGGACGGAGAGAGGGAAGGACCCATTCCTACCATGCAGTTGATTGAAACCATTTTCCTCATCTGCCGACTTCCACGGGCTTGGCGCAACTTCCTTGTGTTTCTCCTTCAAAACAAAGAAACCGCCACCTTGGTTTTCACTGCTTCGCGTCCAGGGCCCCGGTCCCCGCCACAAAAAAGAAGCAAGCTTTTGTTTCGCACCGACCATCTGGCACGACGGAGAAGGACGCGAAGTTGAGGTTGGACTCTTCCAATGATCCCAAAGCAAAAGGCGAAACTAGCAACACCACTTGAACCCAAAGCTGTTTTCAGCGACGACGTGTCTCAACATGTCAGATTTTCGGTGCGGGGCCTTCAACCGCCACTTCACAGCCTCCAAACTTAGTGGGATTTCGGATTTCTCCACAGGGACCGATCCCGTCAAGGATGCGTAGTTGTGCGGGAAACTGCAACGCCAGTTGGCATCCTTCAACCCAAAACTTCCCGGGTAGCTCACAGCGTTGGTGTTTGGCTTTTCCTCAGGCGCGCGGCGTGCAGGTGTTTGGCCAAGGAAGACGTGGGCCGCCGGGCCTTCAGGGACAAGGCTGTCAAAACTTGTAGGTGTCGATTCAACACCCATGGAGAGGGGTTGATCTCCGTAGCTCTTTCTGAAGGATGACTTGGCCGCGTCAGAAAACCATGCCCAGTGAAAACGTGTGCGGTGTGAAATCACGTTGATGTCAATTCCCGCTTGGGTATTCAGGGCATCTACCGTACCTCCTAGGAACGGTGAAAACCATGGGAAGCGAAACATGGCCGAGGATCAACTTCCCATCCAAGGTGCAGGACATGCTTTGTAAAAACCTTGCAGAACGCAAGGGGAAGTAGCATCCCCATCAGGAAACCCCCCCCCCCCCGCTCCCGCCCCCCCCAACAAAAAGAAAAAACTGTGGAAATAACACAAAAACGGTTTTGGCAGAAAACAAAACAAACAAACAAAAAAGTACACCGCAATACACGAGGGGAACCTTTGTATCGAGAAGCATCTGCAGGTTGTTTCTTGGTCCAACCGCGAGTGGCATTTCCTGCTCAAGGCGCAACAGGTGGGAACATCAACGGACAAAGGGAAACTTGCCAAACAGCCTTTCCGAAACGATATGATCCACACACACAGAGATAACCCTGCAGGAGTCAAATCAAAAGAGCCAGATCCTCCAAAGGGAGAGAGAAACTCTGAAACTATGTAAAAATATTTAACCTGCCCAGAAACGCTGAACGGCTGTGCTTGGTGTCCCTTTCAAACCAACAAGGGGGGAAGGCAAAACAAAATACCTAAACATGCACGTGTCAGGTATTACACAAGCAGCCCGACCGGCCTCGAGCTTGATTGCGTTTCCAGCATCCATGGAGTAAACACTGCCTTCGCTTGCGCGAAATCTGGAGGTTGCAATTGCTGAGCCATTCATAAAACTGACAACTTGACCATCCTGGTCCACAGACTTCCAAAGCTTCCAAAGATTGCCCTGTCAACTTTGAGCTGGACATGAAACATTGCTCCGAACAAGAACAGGTCACATGGACTCTTTCCGTGGAAATCTTTTGCTCCCTCCAATATATTACACAACCGGACATCGCGGGCCACTGCTAAAGCAACGCTCATCATGGGGGAGCGCATGCTACTCATGCATCAGAGCCGCCTTCCATGGCGCTCGGAAAACCCACGGATGTTCCCGGGCGAGCCAAAGGTGCCTGTGGAGTGCACGCCATCCGTCTGGCATGCCACTGTGCCGATCGAAAATCGTCCCTCAGTTCGCTTAGCAATCCAAACCGTACAAATCAACACGAACCAATATTCTGAACTTGGCCCTGGGCGCTCGCAGGATTCGTTTCGCCTGCCACGACAAACATGACAAAAGTCACAAGTGACGCTTCTATGGCAACCTGGCGGCGGATACCCCAACGCAGGTCTGAGGAACTTGGCGCGTTGTTGCAGAGTACGTTGTGAGTGCGAACGTCACAGGCGTATTCTTCTGGCCGGCAAAACGCTGAAACTGCGCATGGGTGCCAGCTCCGTGCCACTTGCTGCAGTTGAAAGACCACAAACTGCAAAGCTTTGCATTGACATGGTCTTGCCAAACGCGTGTTGCACCAGCAGCATCGGAGGAGCAAATGTACGGATGACACGTGCATCAATGAGGTTTCATGTTCACTGGAGTACTCCATGTAACACACCATGCGCTAACCAGAATATGGTCGAACACACTTGCACCAAGTTCCACCAACACGAATTAACATTGTGACCAATACAAGTTGGCATTGGCAATTAGGGTCCAGAACGACTTGCCCAGCATCAACGTGTCATCGAAGTGGCTTAGGGATTTGGAGAAATGTGGTAGTAGCAGTAATGCTGGTCACTGTGCATCAAAGCATGAGTCGAAATCAAAATCTGCCACATCTGAAGAAGACTGGTCCTGTACGGCATTGAGACGTGTGACCAAACGGGCTTCATCAACTTGCCAAGAAAATGTAGTTTTCTACTTGTTGTGGGTGAAAACACGCTTAATCTCATTCTTGTAGGTTTGCCGCGCTGCAGTGTTACAAGGATTAGCGTTATTGGGCATTGAGTTGCTCTGCAGCTTGATTCATTGTTTCATCCATTTTCTTTGCCATCAAACCAGTGTTGATTGGTGGGCCAATTGCCCTCCCTGTTTGCCAGTTGCGTTGGTTGCTCCAACTGTTCCAGGGCTGGTGTTGTTGCTCGTGCCACCCTTAAAACTGCTCGTCCTTGTCCTTTGCCTTTGCCACCAAAGGAGTCTCCTTTGCTGTTGGCTCCTTTCCCTTTGTTGCCTTTTCGGTCATGTTTGTACTTTCCTTTGTCGCTTTCTTTTAAAATCTACTTTGCAGAATCGGTTTCCCTTCAGGCGATGTATTGCTGCAGCAGGATGCCCATGGTGGCTAAACCAGCATTACTTGGAGGAGTTCAGGTCCATCTTCAAACCAAGGCGCCCAATCGTAGACAAAATCGCATGGAGCGCAAAGATTACAAAGACATGAATTTCAGTGAACAAAGAGGAAGAAGCCCGTAGCGCGCGCCTGAAGCCGCGCGAGGCTCTTGCAACACCGTCCCAAGACTCCGAAACCATGTTTTCAGTGAGTTCCCCTTCCTTATAAGGCCAAAAGTGGTGGAGTTTGTTTCCTCATGTTAAAATGCAGCGAAGAATTTGCACGATTCACGGTGGCACGCAAAAACGTTTCAGTCATGTAAGCCAGGTTTTTTGGCTGTGTTGTTTTGCCAAAAAAATGCGCCTTAGCCATGCTCAACAAAACATCATTTTGAGTAATTTACATATTTCATGCGCCAAAATACACACATTTGCGCACATAAGCCCAGAATCCCAAGCAAATCATCTTAAGAATGGATTTTTCGACTGCTCCTGCAGCACAAATAGGACTCAAGGGATACTGATACTATCCCAAGCAAGAAACCCGACAAGGCGCGGAGGCTGATCTCTTTTTTGTGGCTGCACCACTACGGAATAACGGCACATGACACGTTGTGACATTTACAAGCTGAAACAAGTTAACGTACAAGGCAATTCTACATTGCAGCAATGTTGAAAGGTGAGAACTACCTACAATCAGCGCGGGCGACTGAACACATTTTTTGCTTGAGCCAAATGTTGACGGTTTGCCACTACTAATCAACACCCCCCACTTTGCGGAGGAGCATCGAGGAAAACAGTACTATGTACTACACTCCTCCAAGCCTGTAGCAAAGATATCTGAGGTTGGGACAGGCTGTAGATGCTGGACCTCAGTATTTTGAGTGGCATGTCATGGATAGGCGTATCATCCACGGCTGCTTCAACTGCAATGTGCGCAAGGCGGCTGACACAGTATTGATTTTGCGACTTCCATCGTGCATCACACACGTTTATGCATGTGAGCGTTTGATATATACATGAATTCATTCTGCTACACAAGTACGGAGGTGATCTCACGACCACAGCTTCCGCCGGGCAGAAAATGAAACTTAGAATCGGCAGTGGCGGCCTTGCATGGCAATGGGCCGCAGCTTGCGCCGGACGTGCACACGATAGCACAGCTAATGTTGCAGCATAAATGGATAAATGATAAATTGGTCCAAATGACATCATCTGTGGATTCAATCGGCCTGCATGCAACAACAGCTTCAACATTACTTCAATTGCGGGTGCTCACCATCCCCATGGTCCCTGACGCCACTGGTCCCATCTTCTCGACCAGCCATAGTCGGAGTATCCGCCCTTGCCCTTGCCTTTACCTTTGTTTTTTCTAGGTCTTTGTGCGCCGGATGAAAAGAGCTTGGGTGGTGATAGTTCCTTCCAGGAGGCTCTGATAAAGCTCGTAGAACGCCTCTCTCAGCAGCGCCCTGGACCGGGTTTCGATTCCAGGCTGCGACGATGACAGGCAGCAACGATCACATGTGTGGAGACGATGACATGCGTCACAGACGATGGAACAATGACAAGTTCTGCTCAGTCTTGTCACTCCAAACCTCCCATAGCCTTGGACCAGGGCTCGAATCCCGGCGATGACACGTGAAACAAGGATATCGCTGACAACCTCGCAGAACCGAGGAGACAATGAAAAGCTCGGCTGGCTGCCGCGCACCCCAAAGGTTCCATAGCTCAATCTTGATGGCATGTGAAACAATGACGTACCTCGCAGAACCGAGAAGACAATGACAAGCTTGGCTGGCTGCCACGCACTTCGAAGGTGTCCGTAGCTCAGTCGGCACCTCTCTCAGCACCGCCCTGGCCCCCGAAGCTCGAATCCCGGCGATGATAAGATCCCTTGCAGAACACCCAAAAGTCCCGAAGCTCAGTTCAGCCTGCCTCTTTTTGCAGCCCTGGGCGATGACATGTAGAAACAATGACAAGCTCGGCTGGCTGTCATAACACCCCAAAGGTCCAGTAGCTCAGTTGTCTCTTTTTGCGGCAGGGTTCGAATGGTCCGAGACAAGGTGGTGAACAGCCACCAACTTATTTTTGGGCTCTCCAGCCAGCCGAGGGTCCGAGACGAGGTGGTGAACAGTCACCAACTTTTTTTTCGAGCTCCAGCCACGACGAAGTGGACAGTCACCAAGTCTTTTTTCGAGCTCCAGCCAGCCGAGGATCGTGCACAAGGCCAAGCTCTCTCTTTAGAGGCTATTTCCGAATTGCACCTGGGAGGCTCCTGACACTCGTCCGTCCAGGAAACCACCTCGTCCTGCGAAGGATTCGAAACCTAAAACGCTGCGCGCAGGCGTGACGAGGTCGTTTCCTGGACGGACGAGCGGGCCTCCCAGGTGCAATAGAATCCATTTCAGAAGTAGCCTCTAAAGAGAGAGGCAGCAATGCGGGCAGCCAGCAGCTCCAATGTAGATGAGAGATAAACGACGAAGTGAACAGTCACCAAGTATTTTTTTGCTCCGAGGGTCGAGACAACGTGGTGGACAGTCACCAACTCTTTTTTCGAGCTCCAGCCAGCCAAGGGTCGAGACGACGAAATCAAGTTCTTGTTGGCTCTCCAGCCAGCCGAGATTCCGAGACGACGAAGTGAGCAGTCACCAACTGTTTTTTTTCGAGCTCCAGCCAGCCGAGGGTCGGAGCTCGAAAAAAAAGTTGGTGACTGTTCACAACCTCATCTCGGACCCTTGGCTGGCTGGAGAGCAAAAAAAAAGTTGGTGACTGCTCACTTCGTCGTCGCTGGCTGGAGCTGGAAAACAACCTGGTGACTGTTCAAAAAGTTGGTGACTGTTCACTTCGTCGTCTTGGGGGAGCCCAAAAAACTTGGTGATTGTTCCTCGACCCTCGGCTGGCTATAGCTCGAAAAAAAGTTGGTGACTGTCCACCACCTCGTCTCAACCATCGGCTGGCTGGAGAGCGAAAAAAAGGCTGGTGACTGTTCACCACCTTGTCTCGGACCCTCGGCTCACTGGAAGAAAAAGTTGGTGACTGTTCACCACCTTGTCTCGGACCCTCGGCTGGCTGGAGCTCGAAAAAAAATTGGTGACTGTTCACTTCGTCGTCTCGACCCTTGGCTGGTTGGAGCTCGGAGAAAAAGTTGGTGACTGTTCACCACCTTGTCTCGACCCTCGACTGGCTGAGCAAAAAAAAGGTTGGTGACTCGTCTCGGACCCTCGGCTGGCGCTCGAAAAAGAAAGTTGGTGACTGTTCACTGCGTCGTCTCGACCCTCGGCTGGCTGGAGCTCGAAAAAAAAGGTTGGTGACTGTTCACCACCTCGTCGCAGTGAACAGTCACCAACTTTCTTTTTCGAGCTCCAGCCAGCCGAGGGTCCGAGACGAGGCGGTGAACAGTCAACATGAACGGGGACCTGAGGCTGGGCTTCGCCTCGAACGACTTCGCAGGAACGGGCACCGCCCAGTGGAGCGACGGCACAGAGATGGTCACCCTCGACTACTCGCACCTTACCAGCGTGCTTTGAAAATGTGCAAGGGCTTCCAGGCCCGGCTGGGCGAGGTGCAAGCCTGGCAGGGTCAGCACGACCGAAAGAACCCATGGCTGAAGTAGTAAGGAAAGGGGGCTTATACTACCCTATTAATTTTCGTTTTTGGGTCCAAAAACCCTGCAAAACAGCCAAATTCTCCATCCAGCTGAACGTTTTTCCGATGTCACCGGTCTTCGTCACCGCTCCGTTTTTGGTGCAAAAAGCGCTCAAAACGGCCAACTCCGAAAAGTTCGTTTTTTCGTGTCAGACGTCAAGTG